GTGCGTGCTCACGTGCGATCACAGCCGGTACAACGTGGCTGGCTGGCTGCTGCCACTTCCAATCTCGGAACCACGATCCGAATGTCGAGATCTGATCGTCCTCAACGTTTTGACATGTGACGCGACGCGAGGAGGAGAAGAGGAAGGAAGGAAGGAAGGAACGAAGTATCGAAGAAACAATCTGATGATCTAGCAGATGATCCAGCTACCGAAGCCAGGAGAAGAAACCATGCATCCGTCTATAAGAAACGTGGGCACGTTGCTGCCGTTCCTGGTCGTGCTGTTGGGCCAGGTGGCCATGTCGTTCGTGCTCGAGGGCTCGGCCACGAGTTACGCCCAGTTCAGGAAATGGAACGCGGGGTTGAACGGCACGTTGGAGTTCGAGTTCAAGACCGAGCAGGGGAACGGTCTGCTGCTGTACACGGACGACGGGGGCACGTACGACTTCTTCGAGGCGAAGCTCGTCGAGAGCGCGCTCAGGTTGAGATACAATCTGGGAGGCGGTGTGCAGATCGTGACAGTCGGCCACGATCTCGGCGACGGCCACTGGCACAAGGTGCAGATCACAAGGTGCGCGGAGAACACCACGTTGACCGTGGACGGCGTGAGCGCGGTCTCCACCTCCCGTGGGAAGGAGTTCGAGTTCGGCAAGCTGGCCGGCAATTCCGACGTTTACGTGGGCGGTATGCCCAGCTGGTACAACAGCAAGCTCACGTTGCTCGCGTTGCCGAGCGTCATCTTCGAGCCTAGGTTCAACGGGTTGATCAGGAACCTGGTGTACGCAGATGGCGAGAACACGGTGCCGAGGAGGCAGGAGATGAAGAGCCGGGACGCCAAGGTAAACGGACACCCTTCTTATCGTGATAGGTGATAGGTGAATTTAGAGAGAGAATGAGGGGTGTATTACGTAGGATGGAAATAGAAAGAGGAGGGGATCTCGCGTGGTAAAAGGGTGAACGACGGTGGATGATGTAACGATTCGTCGAACCGAATGGTGTGTATAAATAGTCGTTGCATAATGGGCTCGATTCAATAACGGTGACAAAGATGAGAAGATGTTCCGCTTTGTGGATTGTATCTTATCGTACGTGTCGTGAAATTGTTGATGGAAAAATAAGAAAAGTTGGGCATTAGAAATTTGTTTGATCGAAATTATGATTTGACGTGAAGAATTGAAGAAGAAAGAAACTCTTGTCGAGATAACGTTAATAGGTGAAATTATTATTTAAGGAGGAACGAGATTGTGGTTATGAATTTTTTAAGAAGATTTTGGTGGATGGTTCTTTGACTTGGCAAATTTTCAAATTGAAGAAAAATCCGATTTTAATCTTAAATCTCGTGTATACGGTAGATTATGTTATAGTAACGGGGCTGTAATTTGCGTGTTATTGTCTTATTGTTAGGGATGACTCGACAAAACTCTCGACCATCCCTCAAATAACACGTCGAATATGGCAGGAAACGGACCGATCGATAGGAAGAGTGGTGCAGTGACTCCCTTAATGGCCAGTTTATTTTTGGCTTCTTCCAAGTATCTGCGATTTAGGGGGAGATCAGAAAAATGTGTGTAGGGTGGATTATTCTGACTCAGCTGACGTAGAATAGAATTTTAACACGGATATTTCTTTCTCTTCTATTTTTAATTGTTTATATCGATTTTTTCAAATGAACTACTATTATAACAGATAGAAATACATTCAATTTGCAAAATGGATCCAACAAGATGGAATCTAACGATTCGTGCAATAATATATTCTGACTTTAAATAAAACTAAAATGCTATATAAAGATTTAATGAAATTCATTTTATCATAATAATACCATTTCACTGTTAATATCCAGAACATTCTTATTAGACAATATTATTATAAAAATCGCGAAGAAACAATTTCTTTCGACTCGTGTTGTAAATCATATCACCTGTATGAGAGTGTTAAATATAATAAATCCATCGTGTGGACTCGAGAAAAAGAGAGAGAGAGAGATAGAAATTTCATAACTCTGATATCTGCACGATTACACCCAAGAATTTCTTTCGTCCACGTTAATCTGGGCCAGCCATCGCACAGTATTGTTACGCACGCTGCTGACACCATTTCGGTGCTTCATAACGCGAGGCTCGTTTCAAAAAACAAAAGGGGGAGAGAAGAGAGAGAGAAAAAAAAATCATAGAAAACAGAAAAAGAAAACAGACAGTTTTTTTTTTTTACTTTTTCTTTTTGCAAAACTAAAAATTCTCTCCCGCCCTTCTTTGCTTTCAGAAACGAGCTCTTGTTTAATAATAGAGAAGAACGAGGGTGGGAAGGGGTTGTTAGCCCGGTCGTTACATTAATCAAAAAGGCAAGGGTTGTTTTTCTTCTTACTCTTTCGGACGCAACCGGCTGCGTAAATCAACGATAAACTCCAAAAGTAATTTAACGTTTAACTGGATTTCCCAAGCGCACCTGTCTGAACCGCACGTGCTGTAACTACTTGGACGTGGAAGCGAGAGGGCGAGTATATTTCAAAGGATTTATATCAACGGATTTTAAAACATTTAAATGCAGGCGTTCACGGGGAAATGCTCGAAATTTTTCTGAATAATTGCAATTTTCTTCGAAAATTGGATAACGATTAAATCCAAATCAGGCTCGCGATTAATTCTTCTCTAAAAAAAAAAATATTTTTATTCGCTTTTCTCGTTATTGATCGTGGAACGATGGATTTATTTTAGGAAAGGACATGGACAAATAAATTGAAATTCTGATGCTTTCTATGTATCAAAACAAAATTTACAGATACGGTTATTATAAAAGATAAAAAGAAATCGCGATTCCGCGTCGTTAAAATTTGTTTGTGCAGTATTAATATCTTTTCCAAACTTATTCATTTTTCGCATCTCTTTTTGCTTCTTCTAATTCCATACCGTGGAAGCGTGACTTTCAACAATATTAATTTAGCAGTTGCTATTTCATTTGGGGGAAGCTCGTAGTAAACTCCGCCCCCTCCACAGAAATTTACCCCTCTGAATACTAATCTCAATCTCTTTTCAGTTAATCCTTCTATTATTCGCAGCTACTATTCTAAAACTTTTTTATTAAAAAAAAAAAGATAAAGAAAGATTTATACCACCTATAATAATTTCCTCATAGAAATATTCACTTTCCATTCAACGAATATTAATTTAATCGCTATTTCCAATGAAAGCCACTTTCTTTTTCTTTTTTTCATCGAAACCTCTTTCATCTCATAATAATTCCCCCATAAAAGTATCATTTATCATTCAACAATCATTCTATATCTCGAGTTCCACCCTCAAGAACGAAACAGAAGAAAGAGATGATAGTCCTCCTTTCCTTTCCTCTTCGAGAGGAGCACAATTTCCTTGGCACGTCGATAAATCCAAGTCACATCCAGGTTTGTTGCGCGGAGAGGTGATCTAGGAAGGGCGATAACGTCGTCCGAATTATACTACCAGGCCAACGACCCAACGCGCCAACTGACGGATATTCCCGATTTGTCTCCTTATCTAATCGCAGATACGCGCTTTATGCTTGGCAAACGAGCAGCGTCGTTAAAATTTCGAATGGTTCAGCGTGATGATGGACAAGCGTGGATGCGTTCTTGGCCACCTCGAAAAAATATAGAACCGAGGCTGGAAGGATCCTCGATTTCAATCAATCTTCTCCTTTCTCGTTAATTACGATGATAATGTAGTCAATGATAATCAACAGGGTTGAAATGATTGGACAAGTTTTAGAAGGAAAAATTAATAAGTAGAATATGTTTCACATAAAATAATTATTAAATGTTGATAAACTTTTAGAAGAAGTTAATCTGTTAACCGATGATATTTGGTTTATCGGTGATTTAGGAAAAGAGAGTTGATAAATCTCGACAACGAGATGGTGAAAGAATAAGTGGCGTACATGTAGAATATATAGTAAACAGCAAAAGTACATAATATATGCGACTTAACCTTAAACGCGAATTTTAGAGTGGTCTCTCGAGTAATAAATCTTTCAGCCTGATAAAAATCTTAAGCTATCGCTTATCCGCCTTAATATCCGGACCCCGTAACACATCTTAATAACAAAAGGTCGATTCTAAGAGTAGATCGAGCCGATGTTCGATAGAAAATCTTAACAGAAAAAGAAAGATTACTTGAGAGCCTCAAGTTCATAAACAATAATACCTGTGATTGTATATATATATATTTGTTTCATTAATGAGTAGAATTGTTTTTAAATACGATATTCATAAATATTCCAATTGATAGATCAGTTTTAATGTACATTTCTATTTCTATTTCAATATAGTCAGATTTTTTTATAAATAAAAAAGAAATAAATACAGGGTTAAAAATTTCTATGATTTAAGAAAATTATATTTAATATCAACAATTTTTTTAGGAATTTATTTTACAACTCTTCAATCAATTGAATATTTAAATTCATATTTTTATTTTAATATAAAGATAGAATTTATGGATCAATTTTTTTATTTATTTTTATATCGAATAATAAAAATTCAATTTTCAAATATACATAATATTAATTTTGAATTAGAAATTTGATATTAACATTCCATAGATGTTATTTGATTATTTTTATAGGGTGTATAGAATCACTCGGAAAAACGATCGAGAAACACTGATCTAAAGGGAAGGAAGATGAATTCCTTTCCACTTCCGCTTCACGCGAGTTGATAAATAACTCCGATAACTGGGTGTGCGTATACGTTATTACCAGGTGATAATAATTGTTCCTAACGTGACATAAATGCAACGTGATAAGCTTTGGACGGGGATAAAGTTAATGTATGCAACGCGCGACAGGCTATCAATTATGCCCGGTTTCAACAATGTTTTTTTCGAGGCCGGATCCCCCAACGTTATTGAACGGCCGATGTTTCATTCGCGGCGGATCGAAAGGAGCGGGGGAAAAAGACGATAAACGTGATTAATAGACGAGGAAAGGATATCGTTGCCCGGAAAGATAAGTCCCCTCCACCGGTTTCGACGTTGACTGATCGCCCCAGATTAATCGCCACACCCAATAACTCGCGAAACTTATTCCATTTTTCGACGCGGCAATTAGCGGTTCGCTGGATGTAATTATCCAGTAGTGGAGCGGAGAGAGAGAGAGTAGAGCTTTGATTAATTTTCTTAATCCGATGTGATGCAATTAGAGCTACGTTATTACGTCTACCGGCGTTATTGGAATCCGACGATCCGAAAGAACACGAGTTATAATCAATCACGAGCAATTATCCACTATCGAGTAATAAACTTGATGAACTGAATTTATTTGTA